CACGCTGCCCTTCGGATTGCCTGGCTGGAGACCGGCTGTTGCTCCTGCGTGAATTCATCGGCCTTCCGCAGCCAGAACACATCAACAGTCGTTTCACCCTATAGTTGCATGACTGCACGATCTGGGAACCTTCCGGAAGGTGAGAGCCAAAACTGCACATATGGCAATCCCTAGCGGACGAGTGTGCTGCCCTTGTGCAGGCTGGCTTTGGTGTTCCCTTGTTGCGAAACCTCTACTCGCAGAGTTGTAGGCTGATAAACGACAACTGCCATCCAGGCTGCGCACCTGGGAAGCCTGTGCTTGCACCTGCTCCTGGTTGGAACTGTGCGAACTGCCTCATGGATCAGCTTCAAACATCTTCAAAAAGCGACCGGTCTTCATTTACCCGGCAGCAACACTGTGACTGTGCAGCACTCTCAACACCAAGACTGCCCAGCCACCAGATCTCTGCGCCAGAACGCTTTCCACCGCCTCCAGCTTCCACGAGTGCCCGTCAAAAAACACCACCGCGCTGCACTTCGCCGCACTTCGCCGCATTCTGCAGACTTCTGCAAACCAAGAGCCCGACTACTGGCCAGCGACCGCCCCAACTCGGCTGTGCCTGTTAAGAAATGCAGACGGGACTTCTTTTGCAAAGGCCGGCTTCCTCTACCTGGCCAGTCTCGGCTCTGAGTTTGCTGCGAGGGCATTCATCTGCCTCGAAGACAGCTCGCTGTGCATCCTTGGGGAGTTTGCATATGACACGACGAAGAGAGAAGCTCACCCTCACCACTGAGGACTCGACGGGGCATAGCCGAGGTTCGGGTGATAAACTGCGGTGGAAACAGGAGGCTGCACCTGCGCTGAACAGCTCAGCAACAAGCGGGGGGGAGCGCAGGCTGCGCCACCGGGCCCCGCCTCCAGGGAGACCCCATGGTCAGGCGTGCCGAGCTGCTCGAGCTCACGGCCGCCGGCTAGTAGCAGCCGCCCGGCCGATTTCGAGACCTCAGAGTGCCCCCCACGTCCCAACACCCTCACAGTCTCACAGTGCACTGCGCCGCTGCGCCACTGCGCTCTGCCGTCAAGGTACGGGTCGAAGCACTGGGAGGAGCATCATCGCGGCCAGGCGCGCTTGCGGAAATCCACGAAACCACCCAACCACGGTGTCCGCTTGCTTCGGATTCGCCTCTCGAAGCCGCGGCTCGCTGCAAGCAAGAACTACTCGCAAATCTCAGAAAAATGCTTCCGTCGCACTCCAACAGCTCCAGCATGGGCGGTTGCCTTCTACTTGGCCTCTCCGCAGTATCCACGGCCGATCCGTAAATGTCCTTTCTGTGACACAGCTTTGGCAGCATGTCGCAAACATATCACATGCTCGGCAATCTCGCTTGGAACATCTTCCTGGAACCAAATAATGCAAGCAAAGAACAGTCAAGATTGCGACAGGAGGAGGACTCTAGCCACCCCTAGAGCCGAGGTTCCAGAAATGTGCATGCACTCTACCACGTCAGAGGTGGTAAAAAAAAGCCAAATCGTGAACAGTGAAAGCTAGAACAACGACAATCCGATATCTTTTACCCAAACAAAGACCTGTCACCGAAGATCTGTCACTGCAAGCCTTGACGACCGATTTCCGAAGAGAAGCTTACACTTACAAACTGATCATTGTCTGCTGACTGAAAGTGTCGCACGAAAGGATTCAACATCCAACCGTTTATGCCGCAGCAACATGAGCGTGGCCATTTGTGGTTGTCGAACATGCTCCAGGTCTGGGTTTCATTCGCTACGTTCGCAACAGCATCCGGTTTTCTAATACACACACATGTCATGTACCGGTGTGTTCCTATGCAAGGCATGATTGACATTGCAGGCTTTAACAAGATATTTCATGTTGCTGCAAGCAGCTCCTAAATACCCAGATATCAATCTCTCGTCCCTGGTTTGACCGGCAAAACACAAAGTATGGGTTCAGCTTCTTACATTTTCATTTTCCCCTCGTTTACTGGAGAGCCAGTTCTCAGTGAGTTGAACCGCTGCATGGTGCATCCGATACATTCGTGCTGAAGGTATCAGCAATTGCATTTTTCATCGTACATTGACCGCGGTGAATCAGATCCGTCGTGATTGCAACAAGTTTTCAACTCACAGAGCCGTCGGGCGGCCAGAAATCCAATTGAAAATGGCTTCAAACATGAGTGCCAGAACGGTTCTGGATAAACTTGCTAGCACCTGTCTGATTTTGGACATGGATGGACTTCGCAGGCACACATTCCTGAAGCGGCAGCACCCAGCGTACCTGCGAGCTACACATTGCTTAAGTGTGGAAGAGCATGCATGCATATATGAGTATGGATGCACTTCCTAACAGTCCTAACATTTTCGGCTTGTTCTGGGTAACTGCATTCGATTTGCAAGGAAAGAAATCGAACAGGAGAAACAAACGGCTCTAAGGGCACTTCAGCCCCTCAAGTCGTTTGGACCCGGCAAATTGTGTTTTCCAAAAACATGTCCCAGACGTTTTCTTCGTTTCTTTAACTACTTCAGAAGATGTCTCAATTAAAGCTCATTGGCTTTCTCGAAGCCTACATCCGGCAGGGCACTCCATACGGTCGAACAGCAGACGCAGCGGTCACAAATCGCGTGGTGGTCCCCACCACGAAAACCACAACCATAGTTGCGACGCATCAATCCGCAGCAGTTCACGGAGGCGATCAGGCTGCGGTATCTTGCACGAGCCTCGCAACCTCGCGGATTGTGACCACCTTGACTTGACGATCCTTGATGTGTAAGCAGAAAAACAAGCAGTGACTTGCGCAGCCAAGCTGCGACTGGAGTTCTTTTTTTCTCGGGGTAGGCAAACAACAGCTGCTCTCAACAGCGTTCTAGTTCCGTCGCAAAGATGACCCCTTGAACCCGTTCGATCGCAGCTGCGCACACCAAAATCCCAAGTCCAAAAAAGCCGACATGGAGGCTTTGCCAAGCACTTGCTAAAACTTTCTTGGGAGAAGGAAGAAAACTCATGAAATCGTTTCAGAAAGTAAAGTTAAGAGCAGCACCGACGCGTGAGCACAGGTTCCACATCGGTGACGGCGGACTTTAGTGATCGTACGGTGGCGGAACGAAGTCCTTCTGCACACAATCGCAAGCGAAATTTTAACGTAAAGAATTTCAAACGTCTGTTAAGGCGATGGCAATTGTAAATGAAACAAAAATTTGAAGCATTCCATCTCTGTTTCTCAGAGATTTGTGTCTGGCTTTGTGAATGGTACGGTATTCAAGATGAAAACATTCCGTGGGTTTGACTTTGTAACTTCATGGTCTTCATCATAAGTTTCTACAACCCAGCTTCACTTCATAATGTCGATCTCATTTTGGAATTTCACATTTTCTTCGCTCTTCCCCATGCGATTCACACGAAAACGGTGGTGAAAGCGAACCAATTCAGAATCGGAACTCTTCGCAGGGGAAACAGCGGTAACCGCACGATTTCTGCAAGATGGTGGGCATCTGTATTGGAGATGATGGAGGACCTGCACACCTCTCACATTGGAACTTTTGCTTGACCAGCTTCAGTTTATGTGTTGCCTTCGCGAAGTCTTGCTGTGGTCCTCTAGCTGCTTTCTAGACTCGGTGTGGAGCAGCCAGAACCACATTACATGTCAGGTTGGGACTGTCGAGATAAGTCAAGAGGAAGCTGGGCAATGCGATGCGGAACTAAGCCCCCCCCTACAACTGCAACAACCAGCAACAGCACTCAGGACACACGGCGATGATCGCCGTTGACTGCAGCCATGTGAACAGTCTCTGCAAGGCTCCTACAAGATCAGCTGACAACCAGCCGCAAAAGAGCTTTTGGGACAAGTACGACCAAAAAAAATCTCTTCAGCTGACAACGTTTTTCTTCCCAACTATCGGCAGAAACATGAGGCAAAGGCCAGTATCAACGGGAGCCTTGCCAGCTGCCTTGCGTTGCAGGGCACGAGCTAGGGGCTACAAGTTCCATACCCCGGGTATATATCCCACGGTAGCAACTCATGTGTGCACTCGGGCCAGTGTAGCTCCAACTCTCAGGTAGTGGGAATGGCATGCGGTCAACTAAAACAGGTTGGTTACCCGGGTTACTGCATCCTCATGTTTCTTCTGGCTCTTGAACCTGTTATCAGTTCATGCTGGGACCTTTTGACCTGGAATACCTGAGAGAGCTCCAATCAAACTGACCCAAGCAGCTCTTGCCTTAGCCTACACACATAACCTTGAAGGTGAAGTAAGCATGCAAGCACGTGGCTGGCATTTTGGCATTCATAGAGCTAAGGCTGTACCCAAACGCGAAACACAGAGACGATTGCCAGCCACATACTTCTCCGCAGCAAAAGACTCTGCAGCTCGGGGAACTGGAAAAGAGCTGTAGCTGACAATGACCATGCCACAGCAGAAACATGAGGCAAAGGCCAGTATCAACGGGAGCCTTGCCAGCTGCCTTGCGTTGCAGGACACGAGCTAAGGAGCTGCAAGTTCCATAAAAGTTCCATGCCCCGGGTATAATTCCCACGGTAGCAACTCATGTGTGCACTTGGGCCAGTGTTGCTCCAACTCTCAGATACTTCAGTGCGAATGGTCTGCAGTCAACTAACATGACTAGTTAGGGCTCCACCATTCCGGGAACTGAAATCACCCAACCCCAGTAAGTTGGTTGCTGCACTTATGCTTCTTGTGATTCTTGAACCTGTCGGAAAAGTGCATGCTAGGACGAAAATGCAGGAAGTCCGAACACACCAGTCATGCGTGGCCAATGCTTTATGCTTTCAAAGGATTAGGCCTGACATGGAATACCTGAGAGAGCTCCAATCAAACGGACCCAAGCAGCACTCGCCTCAGACTACGCAGCTTTACTTGAGGCTGAATTGCGCATGCATTCTGGAGTTTGTGGACTGATTCGACTCGACACCTTTTGAGACTGAACACTGTGAAATAAACGACTCTGTGGTACACTTTGCATGCTGATTCAGCCGAGCACTCCGGTGCTAGGCCTCGCAAGCCGAAGGGCGAACAGTGCAACACTTCATTGAAAAGGTCGGCGTCGACTGGTGGATCGGCGTCAAAGTCAGGCGGGAAACAAACATCCCAGCCGGGCAGCCGATCCAAGGCGACATGGCCTCTGCCGTGCTGGCGTCTATCTCCAGACAGCGTCGCGGAAGCGCCGAGAGCTTGGGATCATGCTGGAGGCTGCACGGGGGTAAGATGCACGAGGGCATGTTCGTCATGCCTTGAATATGAAAAAGGTTCGAGTCCATCTTTTTCAACTTTGAAATAAAGGCCTCTTGGCACTCAATCTCAGCAGGGTCTCTCAGGCTGGATTGCGGTTGCATCTGGGCACCTTGTGCTATCAGAGGAAAACCGTCAAAGAAGTACACTCCCATATGCTCGATCCTGGATAGTGGAACTTGCCCGGGCAGTCCAAGGTGAATTCCCTGTAGAAACTGAGAAGCATTACCACATGAAATGCCGTAGATTCCGCTTTCACCCAAAGAATTGTCCAGGCAGGTCATGTTCTTGTAGAGCGCCTCTGTCCCCTTCTTGTACGATAAGAAGTTCCTATAAGTGGGCGAGGTGCTGCTGCTCAGAGACATCAACATCCGAAGTTTGGGCTCTGCGTACTTGGTCACCTTCTCGGCGTCATCCACCAACCAGAAATGGGTCTTCTCCTGCCGGCCAGCCATGCACATCCAGCGAGCCATAGAGAGAATCTGTGTTGTGTCTTCCATTTTTCTCTGATGTTCCTTCGCAAAGACCCTGCCCCAGCTGGGCTCGAGCTCACCCATCTGAAGGATGAAGTTGGCTTGCAACAACACCAACTCAAAGGTCTCCACAAGCGTACACTGCTTGTGCCACGTCAAGCAAGCTGCAGACGGAGGCCACGTAGCTGGCAGGCAGTCTAAGCCCCCAAGGAACTGCGCAAGGAGCGAATCAAGGTCACGCTGAACCATGAGCATCCACAGCAACCTCATTTGCGGCTCGAAGCCTGCGGCGACCCCTTCAGAGTCCTGGAAGATCTCCGGCATGTAGCCTAATTCGTTCTTCAATGTGTTGAGCTCCGTGCGGAATTCGAGGGCTTGCTTTGAGTTCACATAGTCCGTCACAAATTCCGTCACGTATTCCTTCACCTCGCCCATGATCTTCTCATAGAGCTCCTGCAAGGCTTCATTGAGCGCGTCGCTCAACTGGTCACCCCCGCTGGATCCGAAGATCCCTGTGAGTACTGAGATTCCCATGGTGACAAACAGGCCAAGCATGGGAAAGGCCATGCCAACCACAGTCCCAATAAAAGTCCCAACCAGACCACCTGCAGACACCAGCGTACTGCGGATGTCAACTGGTCGGCCTTCCATCAGGTCGCCCAATAAAGAGCCTGTGAGTGCGGAGGCCTCCGCCATGAGGCCACCCACGTTTTGGAAGTCATCCAACTCCCCTGCCATTCTCCTGATGTATTCACCACCACTCTCTCCTGTTCGATTGGCCTGCACCAAGGCTGGCCCAGCACGACGCAAGGAATCCAGCAGCTTGTGGTGCACAGGGCGCAGCTCTACCCCTGCAGAAACAGCTGCTTGCTCGATCGCATCAGGCTTCATGGCCAACCGCTCGCGTAGCCTCAAAGCGACACTTGAGGTCACCCGAACTGCAGCGCCTCTTTGAACCAAGACATGCTCGCCTTCACATCCTTCACAAGGTTTTGCGGTGGGCAAGCTGAAGAGGGCAAACATGCCCAGGATGAGCAAGTTGCAATGGCCTGGCATCGTGACGGCCCTGTGACGATTGCTTGCGCTTGGGCCGAAACACTCTCAAGACACGACATCAAAGACGAGGACGCCAGTCTGAGCCGCCTGCCCAAGCATTTCGGGACATCTTCTGAACCCAAAATGACAGCACAGCCAACTCCGGTCTCTGTTCGTCTGTGACTGAGAATCGCCGAGTTGTGCATCCTGCACAGCCGTGGAGACGGTCCCCCACTTTGCCCCAAAAAGCCTCCAACCAAATTCTTCAATCAGCAAGTCTTCAAACTTTTCACCGAGTTAAACAGCTTTCGCTCAAAGACAAAGTGCAGTTATTGTATGGCTTAGTATTTGAGTATTTTTCGGGGCTTGTCGAGTGCGAATCTACATGCACTCTTGCGTCTTCTGCTTAGGCTTTGCTGTCATTTTTTGGCGTGGGCGGGCCTCAACGACAGCAAGTTGCTGCACTCGGTCCCAGCAAGAACTACAAGAAAGCCAAGAACTAAAGAAACTGTACAATCAAAGCAAAGACTGGTGAAACAGGCCGCGACTAGCAGACTTAGCCGGCAGACGTCGTTCGGCAATATGCACAAGGCTAGCAGCTACCCCCGCTCAGACGCCCCGCTCCCCAGTTAAACTGAGTCGCGCAATGGCAAACGCATGGTCTCCCTTGGTACGGTTGGCAGCACAAGACAGCCCTCCAGTTCAGTGTGCAGAAGCCTGGCAGCCCAAGGGTTTGACATGGCCAGATAGGAGGGCCAATCGCCATACAAAACATCCGAGCATCAACGAGCTTGCCCAGGGTATATGCTGAAGATGAATTCAGGCCCAGCTTCCTGCCAAGGCAAGGCTCGCAAGGGCAAATCGCAAATGACTGATAATAAAAACCATGCAGCATTGTGTGCACCATGCGACACCATGTATCGCACAATCCATTGGGCCTGTCATCAGCGTCGCGGCCATGGGTTTGGTATCCCATGACACCATGCCACGGCGTTGAGGCGCTGGTCTGAGGCGAGAGAAGGCCCAGGACTCAACTCGAGCAATGCCTGCCAAGGCAAGCAAAATATTTAACATAGCCCAGCTTCCCACCGAGGTGGGCCTCGCAAGGGCCTCATGAGATCACACACAAAGTAGCGTAGCAAGTAGAAGGGTACTTGCCGTACCCAGGCAGCCTCGTCACAGCACCACGTGTAAGGCCCAGCTTCCCACTAATTGGTCTCGCAAGGGCATGAAGGCCATACCAGCACACTCCGCACCCCCACAGGGGAAGAGTCGAGCAAACTATGCAAAATTGCCCATGCCCAGCTTCCCACCGCAGTGGGCCTCGGAAGGGCCAGGACTAATTGGAACAAGAAGAGTCCCTGCAAGGTGGGACGCAAATCGGTAGCGGATTAGGCCCGTCCAGCGGCTCCATGCTGAAGTATGGCAGTCCCACCAAGCCAGGCCCCCCGATAGCCAAGGGCTGGCCGCAGCATGTAGCAAATCCGAGCCCTCGTAGAGCTCGAGAACGGCCCGATAAACAAGGCGCGACACCGATGCCAGCATCGAGATCGATTGGACAATAGTGGCACTCATTTGGAATCGCACGATCAGTTGGAAATTCGTCGCGACCCGGTAGCCAACGAAGGTACGTTGCACCAAGTCTGCGACGACACGGCGTTGGACTCTGCAAACTGCTGCGAGTGGCAGCCGACGGTGGGCCCAAAAAGCTTTGGCAGTGCCAGCACCGAAACATACGTGACGACTTGTGCCACGAAATCCTCAGAGATCATGGACATGGCTGGTCACCCTGCGCTACAAGGGCCGACGCTGCAGCGAGGAAAGCGGAAACCAGTCAATAAGTGGAGAGAATGTCGTGCACGACGGCCATGTAGAGCTTGCAAGCACAATGCCCGGCCACTGATGCTACTGTCACTTTCTCCACCGCACCTCATCGTCGGCACAGCGACCTGAATGACCCAAGGAAATTGCTAGTCGCACGGTTTTTGGGCAATACGGTGCACAGCGTCCCCCCACCACCGCCGCTAAGCCGAATGGCCAGGGCAGGGTTGCGAAGTGGCCCTCCGTTCGGGGCTGGGCCCACCCCCCTTCGACGAAGGGGGGCTTGAACGGGGGGGGCTGAAGGGTCGGACCCTTGAAGGGGGGCTTGAAGGGTAGGCTGAAGGGAGGGGCTGGGGGGGGGGTGAGCCGATACACCCCTTAAGGATTACTCCTGTGGGAGTGTATGACCAGTTTGTGTCCCGTGGGATCTAGGGCAACACGGACAGCAGTTGTTTTGTTCTGCTACGCAGAGAGAGCTTTGAGTCAAGTATGGTAAAACCACTTGAGCCAATGAGCAGCAGACGTGTATACATGTGAACATGCGACCAAGTCATTGCTGTAAGTACAACCCCTTTAGAGGTTTAAGTAAACAAACAGACAATAATTTACTGAAATCCAAGGCACGGTCTATTTCTCGAGCTAAAAAGGCCTCAGTGTGCAGTGAACTGTTCGACCTGGGTATGCAAGGTGCTGGATCTCCGTCCACCACACTAGCCTGGTATGTTCCAAGCTCTTTCTCTGCCCAACACTAGCCAGGTATGCTCGATGAGCATCTGCACTCCCCTCCCAGCTATGCTGGGATCTAAAATAGGGTAGGCTAGTTCAGAAATAACGGGCGTACATGAGCTACGAAGAAATACGGATCATTCAGATCACCCTCCGAGCGGCAAGGCTTCAAGAGGTCTGTGTCATTAGCTTTAAAAGTGGAAAAGTAGCCAGCGAATCTATACAGGAGCACTTAAGATCCTGCAGCGACCGGCTATAGAGACTCAAGGCCTTTCACGAGTTCACGGTCGCCTTCGCGCAACTTCAAACTCCGTGCGTCCCGTCCAGAGCTGAGACAGCTTACGAGCCCCAAACTCAGTAGTGTCAAGTACGTAGTCAGGCAAATGCCCTTCGTAGAGATACCAGGTCTTTCGACGACCTGTCAGCTGCACATACGGAAAGCTGTTGACTATCTCTGCTGGTGCACGAAACAGCTGCGATCTCGACGAGCTGTGGAACCGAACCAACACGTGGCTTGATTCATCATAGCACCAGCGGTCAAACGGTCCAGGGTCAACCCAGCCATCAACCCAGCCAAAGCTACTTCCAAACAGCTGCCTTCCATACAGCCTCTCTTGCTCTATGTGCCGCAAAGCCGCATTCCGGTAGGACTGCACCTGATGCTGTCCTAGTGAGACCGTCTGTACATTGGGCTGATGACTACCAGTGAGGCTCCTACGTGGACACAACCTAGCCCGGAACCGACCAAGAGCCCAAGCTCCGCCCTTGACGCCTTTCAGCGCAATGAACTTAGCGACTTCCCATGCGACAATCAGCGCAACCGCAAGCAAGCATTCGGACTCCAAAAGAGCCGAAAAAGAATCATCATTGTCATCATCCTGGACACGAGCGCCTTGGACCTGCCCCACCTGACTGGCGATAGCCAGTGCAGCAACTAACATGGCAAGTCTAGGGTCAGCGCTGGCCGGTGCGGCATAAACACAACTAGACTCACACAGCACATGAGTTGCTTCATCATGTGATGCCTCCGAGCCCTCACTCCATACGTAGCCTATCAAGTCAAGGAGAAGTACAACCGGATTCTGGCATCGCCTTTGTAAGGCAATCGGCAATCATTTCAATGCCTGGTAAATGTTGGATCATCAATGCCTCGTCTGATATAGCTTCATGAAAGTGTCTCGCACGTAGTCTGAGGTGTCTCGTCCGCCACGCTCCTCCGGGAATGATAAGTAGCTGGATGCATGCAGCATTGTCGATACATTGAGTCCACCGCAGCTCTTGCCGGCACATCTCCGCCCAGAGGGGAGTCAATGCTCTTGCCAACACCATGTTGTCCACGGCGGCAATGATTTCGCTTTCGGCCGTTGAAAGTGCCGTCAGCGTTTGACGGCTACTGTGCCAGCTGACCGCACCGCCTGCGATCACCAACAGAATACCTGTATGGCTTCGGCCACCGTCATCCTGACCAAAGCTTGCGTCCGACCATCCCTCAACCGTACATCGACTCCGTGCACATCTTAGTGGCTCCTGGCCGCGCCAAGGTTCATCAAAGGAGCCATACCGGAGTTGTAGATGGGAGGTCCTCGCCAGATATGCCAGCGTCTTCAAGCCATCCCTGTATACCGAAGAAGGGCACCTTGAGCAGTATTGGCCAAGCTTGCTCTCGGTGTATGACACGTCTAAACGTGTTTTCCCCGATAGCCAGAGCAGCTCACCGACTAGTTTCTGCGCACGGCGCAGAAGAGGAATACTCAACGTTTCTTCCTCCTCGTAACCGGTCTTAAAGTCCGGAAGAGAAGACTCGACAGGCAATGCATACCGAGATACCAGATCACTCAAGTACGAGGTCTGATGTAGGTGATACGCTCCATCACTTCCCCGCTCAACCTCAATGCCACAGAAGCGCAAACCATCATTCAGCCAGTTCGGCTCGCTGGTTTTCCAGAGGCCGCCAAACGCCGCTATCATGAAAGAAAGTTCGTCCGTTGCCCCAGTCAAGAGAAGATCATCAACGTACACTCCCAAGATGGCTAATATTTCTCCCCATTCGTCTCGAAACTCGATACACCCAGTCTTACCTTCAAGAGCTTCCAGCACAAACCAGATTGAGGGATCGGCCTCAGATCGTCGCAGTTTGCGCAAACTCTCCCCGGGTCCAGTCCACGACCACTGAGCCAATGTGGAATCACGATACACCGACCAATCAGCCGGACTCTCGACGAGTCCATAAAGTGCGCGGTCTACCAGAAGATAGGTTTGGGGATCAAGAAGTCCCGCATCAATTATCAAACGAGGAACTGCCACAGCAATCTTGGAACCGTCTCGTCGCCGAGCTGGCGCAAGCAAAAACGCCGTTTTGACGTCAATGACTACTCCATCCCACCGAGAACCTGCTGCCCATCTCAGTTGTAACCGCAAGCTTTCAGCCTCCAAGCCACTGGCATAAATCTCTCTCCGACTCTCTGCCTTAGCAGCCGTGGAAGAAGGACCTGACGAACTTGACGATGCCGGGTTGATAAGGCCTGTATGTGACGATTGAGCGTCCGGGAGGTAATTTCCACAGGCCACTAGACGCGCTCGTTTACGCCTATCCGGAGCCTTAATGGAGAACACCAACTTCCCCGGCACTACCTGCACCCTTACACCACTGGACTCTAATTCCTGCAACTCCGCCTTCGTAATCAAACGGACAGCCTGATGCACGGTAATCAAAGCAGTAAGCTCCTCCGCGATTGCATCCTTCCATGCAGACAAGTCCTGCCGCACTTCATTTAAGGAAACCTGTTGAGTTTGCAGCAAGATATCCGGAGCAGGCTCCCCAGTGATGGGAAGATCGTTCGTCCCCAACTCTTCAAGCGCAGCCTCAACCTGCAACTGCATAAGGTTCCTAGTCGTGACATCCAAATCGGGATCGATAGCCTCAGCCAACTTCCTAAGCCGGACTACCTTAATCATTTTGCTTGTGGGTTCCACTCTCATGTTTTCGTACTGGGCCATCCACCCAAGCACTGACATGGCATTTTGCGACTGATAGTCACATCGGTAAGTTCGGAATGAATCACACACACCACGATAACCAGCATAATAGTCCAGCATATCATGGCGGTCACCGCATTCAAAGGCAGCCTCAAGACTCCCCCCCGATGTCCGATCGGGTGGCCCCGCACTTGCTGACACGGCACACACACAAAGTATCGGGCGCTATCCTCTCCTAGCTCCTGTCCTGGCTCTACTGCCGCGCACGGGCACTCTAGAGCACCATCTGTACCGCGGACTCCCCCATGTTGCACTTCATCCTGGACTCTAGCTTGCAAGGCCCTGACAGAAGGTTTCAGTGCCAAAGGGTTGGGGCGATACGGAGCAGGAACGTTAAAGCCTAAGGACAACAAAGTGTGAACGTCTAGAACGGAAAGCTTTGCAGCAAAACCCGGAGTGTATGCAACAACAACCAACCTAGGTCCTATAGCTGGCTCCACGCCATGAGGAACAAGCGGATCGATGTAGGCCTTGCCACCGCTGTACTCCAATGGCCCATCCGGTGTAATGACTCTGCCCCCCGCAAACTCCGAAAGACATACGACCATGTTTCGGTAACCATGCTGATTATGAACATCTCGATGCAATTCAGCCACTGCATTAAACGAAATCCGCAATGCTGTACACTCGTGCGCGGCATCGAAGCTCGCAACCAAGCTATTGAGCAGCCTAAGCAACATGGGACGCACCTTAGTAGCCGTAATAAGGCCAACCTGCGATCCTCGGCAGAACGCTCCGAAGGAGATAACCCACGAAAGAGAGTTGCCCAGCACATCAGCATCAATGCTTCGGCTACCCTTCTTAGCTGTGCTACACAGAGATGTATACACTACGCTCGCAACTTCAAGGGTGTCCAACTGATGCTTTTCCAACATGGTTTTGGCTACCCCCTCAGACACTTCAACACTAAAACCCTGGTCTCCGCCCCGGATTCTGCGCAATGCCAAAGGAGCGAAAAGCTCAGGAAACAAATCCCCATCGTCAGTGACATCCGCCGCACCCCCGACCACCGTTGCACCCGGGGCCTCATGTAGCCGGTCATGCCCGGCTTCCGACACACGTGCAACCTCTCCACCTACCACAGCTAAGTCTCCTAAAGCGGCGTCCGTATCCCTCGGGGGTATCAGGCTTGTCTTGCCTCGAGTCCGGCGGTCGGGATCAACCCGCCAGACCTCGCCGGGAAGGGTAATTGGAAGAGCGTTAAACGGTCGGTTCAACCTGATAGTTGTAGATACCATTATTTTCCAACGAAACTTCCGTTAGCGCGCGTTTGGGAAACCCTAACTGCGCTGCAGAGGAACCCTGTGCAAAAACACTCTCTTTTTCTCCTAGCGGACATGGGGGGTCAGTTCGGGCCCGATCTTCGGGCACTGACGAAACGATGCCACTGGCATCTCGATTCAAAACTCGACCGCTGGTCGATGGTAAGGCGAACGACTGGTTCACCCCCCCTACCAGGGAATAACCCGTACCACGGGAAGATAAGGTGAAACATTCTCTGACCTACTGGGTCACTGCAGCTACCAGTTGCTACTCTGTAGTCTGACGGCCTACGGCCTATGTACAAGAGCGCACTCTGTGCTTACGCCTCTCTGCGAGAGAGAACATAGGAGCGCTGCTCCTGGCAGCTCTGCTGCCGAAGCGGTGTCCCGGACCCCGCATACTATACAGGGTGTGGTGGGTGGGACAAAAACTTTTTGGATCACAGATCCAACTCCAAGCCGAAAGCTGCACGGCAAAGTATGTCTAGTGTCACTCACACACAAGTGAAAACACTGTTTTCCTTTTTCGACAAACTTTGTCTACACTTTCGGCGGAAAATAAAACCCATTCACGCACGCATGATGGATGCTTATTTTCCAACGAAACTTCCGTTAGCGCGCGTTTGGGAAACCCTAACTGCGCTGCAGAGGAACCCTGTGCAAAAACACTCTCTTTTTTCTCCTAGCGGACATGGGGGGTCAGTTCGGGCCCGATCTTCGGGCACTGACGAAACGATGCCACTGGCATCTCGATTCAAAACTCGACCGCTGGTCGATGGTAAGGCGAACGACTGGTTCACCCCCCTTGAAGGCACTCGAAGCCTTACTCACCCCCCATCTAGTCCGCGCCGAGTGACAAAGCCAACGGCACTGCGTTGGGAGGCAGGTATTGGCGCGCTGCGCCTAGCCTCTCGGTCTCTTCCCACCAGTCTCTGCTGGGGCCATCAGCGATGTTGCTGTCTGTCGGAACTCGGAAGAAAGCAGCCCTGCACTGCAGAGACTCTTCAAAGTCCACCGCTTGCGAGACTATCGCTGCACCTTCTACCTTGCGTGTGAAGGCCTTGTGTAAGGAGGTACGCGCTGCGTCGTTGTCTATCCAGACGAACAGGTCACTGCCTGCTATATGCTTGGCCCACAGTTGAAGGCTAAGCAAATAGGGCAACAGCTCGCACTCGTAGACCAGCTGCTGCTTCTGTGCTCTGGCAGCCCACTGGGCTGCAACCTGGCTGCTGATCTGAAGCCCCCAGGTGAAGGCGATGCCTTCTCCAATGAGCACTGCTCCGAGGCCACACTTGGGCACCAGTCGCGGGGTCTCCCACTCGCAGGCCCCGTCGATGTACAGATGCACCTTCCTGCGCGCATGGATGGACACTGTCCTGGGCGGACCGTGCACTACTCGTTGCAGCAGGAACGCCATGGCTTGGCACTGCTGCTCGGTGAGGGGGACTTGCTCTGGTCCGTCCCCAAGGACGTCGCCTACGCAGATCACTGCCATGCGAGTATTGCGACCCCAGGCTTGCTGCTCAGCGAAGATGAGCCTGCCCCGCAGGCTCTGCGCTTCCAAGGGGGACATGCTGCCCCGGGCGAGGGCCTCGCTGAGGACCAATCCCAGCTCTGCTGCACGGGTCGGCTTGTTACTCACGGAGATTTCTCCAAGGTGCTGCTTGGACAAGTCGACTCGCACGCCTAGCACGTCAAAGACTTCGCTGAAGTCGGCGTTCTTCTTGGGCTCTGTGGCCACTTGCCAGCCCAGCTTGTTAAAAAGGTTGGACACTGCCAACGTGACGAGCTTCGAATGCGCGCTGCGCGTAAGAACGGTGAAGTCGTCGAAGAAGCTCGTCATGACCAAAGCAAGCTTTTCGCGGCCGATGGCCTTCAGCGCCTCGCTGCAGCGGAGGAAAGCGTGCACGGCAGCCACTGCGCCGAAAGGCATGCTGTGTAGGTGGGCGATTTTGACCTTCCCACTCTGTGGGTCCACCATGACGATGCACGCGAATTTCTTGTGTGCGGCCTGCACTGCAAGCTGCTTGTAGGCACTCTTGAGGTCCCAGGTCCTGCCTACTATGCGGTGGGCCCGCTCTGCGGGCACACCCTGGCGCAGCCACTCGAGGCACACGGCAAGGAGCTCGTCGATGCTATCGACTTGGACCTTCTCTGTGGTCCCGCAGCAGCTGTTGATAAAGCTGCTCTTAAAATTATCAATGGGGCGCACCTTGCCCTTTTGCACGACACCGAAGCGAGACGATACTATCGTCTCGTGCAGACTTTCCGGAGAAAAGTCCTCCAAAGAGAGCCAGCCCTGCTGGCCTTCTTCTATTGTGCTTTCCCAGACTCTGTCCGAAACCCCTTCCTGCGAGGGGCGTAGAGCGCTGCGGACGCCGCGCATGCCTATGCTATGGGCGTTTTCCAGAATCGACTTCTCATCTAGAGAAGGAGGCAGAATCTGCACTGGCCACAACCCACTGGGTTGTATCCAGCCAAGCAGGGGAAAGCCTTCCCGCACCTGCTGTGCCAAGGTCTTGTCCGGGAAGTCGATTTCATTGAGAAGCTTTGCTAAAGCTACTGTCTGCTTGGGCTTGGTGACACTGTTCACCTGAGCGTCATTAGAGGAACGTACCCCGGTCTCGAGGGCTTGGCACTCTGTGCAAGTTCTCGATATATGCATCGATGCCAACGTGCGACGCTTGGCCAGCAGGACAGTGTCTTCGTGCACTTCGGCTGCGATGGCACGCTTGAGGGATAGAGGCACTGCCTCAATGTCTCTGGCTGGGTGATCTATGAGATGCGCTCTGCGCACCCAGTGTAGAGGCTGCAGCGGGATGGCGATGATGGCCTTCTGGGAGGCTTCGATCCACTGGATGAGTCTGGAGCCTTTTGGGAAGCAAGTCCACGACTGTGGTAGCTTCTGGGGGGTCTTCCAGCCTCTAAAGCACCGCGCTGCGGGGCCTTGCAGAGTGACTTTGTCACTGAAGTCTGGCTCGTAGCGCAGGCGACGCAGACGCTTGCGACTGAGAGGCGCTGCCTGGAGTGCTGCTGCGCATTGGTCTGCCGCGAGGGAGACCCAGACCGAGCTCAGCTGAGTGGTGTAGGCGCTTTCTAGGGAAGTGGACCACACTGTGGAGCCATCCACTGAGGCTCTGCCCCAAGGCAGGTGTTTATGGCCTCCGTCGCAGTCTCTGCTGAGACCAGAGAACCAATCCAAATTGGAGAGGATTGCAGTACGCTTGCGGCGCATGCTTCCGAACATGCACGCGTCAAACTCCACTCTGTGAGCTGACTGCAAGGCCTCTCTGAGGCAGGGCATCCTCCAAAGGAGGCTACGGGCTGGATTTTCTATGGACCAGCAAACGCCGCGCTGCGACAGAGAGTGGCAACACTGTGCCATGAAAGCGACTAGGCTGTTCGCGCTGCGAACTCGTGCTGCGTCTGCTCCTCGGAGGCCTGCTGGGCGCGATTCGCTGCGCAAAGGGCCCGGCGCTCCTGGCCTGGGAATTTCTCTAGCTCTGCTAAAGGTGCCGCACGGCGGGGCCCAGTGGACCCATCTCAGGTCTTGGTGTGAGAGCACTGCCCTCAGCAGGTTGCGACCCAGCTGCGTACAGAGGTCGAGCTGGAGGACCTTGAGGCCTCTGGCCTTCGTCTTGTGATCCACTGCGACGTTCGAGAAGCCTTTCTCGATGGCTGCCTTACTAAGGCGACCGAGGCCGCAGAAAACTTCCACAAACAGTGGCGGCCGAGGGGTCGCTTTCGGAACGGGCTCAGGGAGAGGAACTCCCGGAGCGTTGTCTGCAGGCACGCTGTGCTGTTCCGACAACAGGAGCGCTGGGGGGTCGGCGTTTGCCGGTAACCCTGCGTCAGGCGACGGCGCAGCTGTGGCACATCCTGGCTTACTTGTTGCAGGCGAGTGCGGCAACGGTGCCGAGGCAGGGGGTTCAGGGCTCTGCCCTGCGCTTGGCGCGGTGGCAGGGAGGCCCAGCGCTGCTGGGCCAGGAGCTGCGGGCGCAGTGGCCGAGGGCTGATGCGGCTCTGCCGCGCTCAGGGCAGGGGTGCCTAGTCAGGCGGCCCCTGCGTTCTTGGGGCAATCTGCGGCACCGTGGTCGGTGCTGCCGCAGCTCATGCACTGATGCAACCCCCTGTCGCACTGCTTGGGGGATCCGGAGGTCTCCAGGTCGCACCCGCACTGCAGGTTGAAACCGTAGCAGAGGCGCTTGCCCGACTTGGAGACGCTGTTCAAGTGGCGGAGCTCTTTGGGCATGCTCGGCGGCCTGGAGCGGTCTGCGCTCTCGTGCCGTTTGCCCTTGCCCTTTCCGCGGCCTTTCTTGCCGCCTTTCTTGCCTTTGCCGGTCGTGCTACGACTGCGGTCTTCTTCGCTGCGCGGAAAGCTGCGGCCCTTGCCCTTGCGACCCCTGTCCGCCACTGGCGAGGGGAGCAGGTGCAGCGTGACAATCGGATCGGACCACATGTTCTCTACTAGAGAATCTAGTGGCCTCTTACCATCCTTGTCCGGTTTGCAACCCTTGCGACACTCTCGCGCGAGCAGCGTCCACAGTTCTTTATCGGCCCGTACTACGTGCCAACTGTTGCCGCGCTCCATCCCCGGCGGCGCTGGCCGGTTCAGGACGGAGAAGAACTGTCTCACGAGTCTCTCGTGAATCGTGAAATCCAACACGCCGACTCTGTCGAGCGCGAGACCTCTGCGCGTGAGCGCCTGCGTGAGCTTTAGCTCATTGCCGATCTCGACGTGCACGCTGTGCTCCTTTTTCTTTACTGTGATTTCCCCAGACTCTAGGGAGAGGAAGTCCTTGTCACGCCTCACTGAGGCGATTTCGGCATCCCGGCTGACGCACTGCGACGGCGGGATGTAACGCACGATGCCGTCCTGCAGCATGAGCGCGGCCTTGTCCACGAGGCTGTGCGCGGGGTCGTAGTCACCTTCGATGACAACGCCCCGGAGGCGCGCGACTTGCGCGGCGCGGCGC